AGAAAATGACGACGAATTGTTTTTAAACTGTTATTAACGAATAAATATTGGCAAACGACTGATCTGCTCCTAGGCGGGCTTTCGCTCGCGTTATTTATTATTAGAGACTCCACAGTGCGCCTGCGTGTGTCGTTTACTTCCGTTTTGGCTTTACACGGCTGCTGACACACGCGTCTTTTGTCTCTTGTTAAGTGCTTTGTCGAGATATTACATTTATTATTTGTCCTCCTCACTGAGTGTTCACACAACTTGTAACTGATGGCTCCCATTGGATATCAACTGACAGCAAGTCTCCACCACAGTTCAGGATTTTAAATGGTTTTAATAATACTCTCATTTAAGTGGGTCTATTTCTTCCGTCATTTTCCAATTCCCCCAATTTCAACGTAAGGCACTTTGGGATTGTTCCATGAATATGTAATTAATAATGAAAATAAAAATCAATTAAATGATTTACATACATTAATCATGTAAATTAATACAGTATTTTAAGTAAAAGATTATTTTTTCAATAAGGGCTTTTAGAAATTTAAGAATAACATTTTATTTTGAATTCAATATTATGTTTTTGCTAAGAAAGGTAAAATAGAATAGCAGATGCGTGACGGTTATCGAAGCGGAAAAGAGAAATCAACGGTCCGAGTTCTAATTCCGGCCGAGTCTATAGCATTTATTTTCACACAAATGCTTCTGAGAATGATATGAATCTGTTTTTTCTCCACCCATCTATGGATTAAACAGCAGAGTAAACTGTGTTCTTTAGCTTTGCTTGGCAGAATGTATAGATTTCAGAACCGTGGTGGAAGGTAACGAGAAAAATTTCCAAGTAGACATGGCAATTCGAAGATAATAAAGAAAAGATTGCCTCTGTCTTGAAGGAACAAAGCATCTAAATAAATAAACGGCAAATTCTGTCTGTCCGTCCGTGTGGCCGAAAACTCTCGAACTCGGACTATTCTTGCTCTGCACAGACATATTATACCTTTTTGGAATCAGGATGATCCTGGGATTGAAAACCTGCCCTTTATCTGGTGCTTGAACATCCGGAATTGGGATTTGTGTCCAGATGTGGAGGGAACAGTTAAAAAATACAAATTTTAAAATCGCTGAAAAAAATTAGTGAACTTAAAAGTGTTTCATTTACATTGATTTTAAAGTAACACAATTTTTCTTTGTTTTAAATTCAGTTTAAAATATCTCGAAAATATTGAAATCAATTTTATTACATCAAAATGCCAAGGAATCAAAATTAAAGTGAAAGGTTTTGTGACATGAGTTTATGATTGAGAGAACTCAGCTCAATTGTATTTCCACGGACTTTATTATCTGAATAACTCAATTTTCGGCCTGAATTGGAACTTTGGTCCAATCATAGTTTCGGTCCAAATCAAACTTTTGGCCCGAATAGAACTTTCGGCCCAAATCAGTCTTTTGCCCGAAATTAGACTTATAGCTCGAATCAGATTTAAAGTGAGGTTTTGAAGTTTCTAGTAGCGAATTAAGGAATTCAATGTTATTTCTCCGAAATGATCACTACTGTTTTCTAACCTAGACCAGAGGGCCCTTTCGTTTTGGGTCGGAGACATAATTAGCTCTCCATAGAAGCTTACTTTATACGTCAGCACGGCATTTAAGCTAATCTGAAATAAAAATAGAATTATTTTCTTCATGGATTGGCAGCAACAATTCATAAAGAAACAAAATTCATAGACCAACTGAAGATTTGATTTAATCGATATAAACTATATTGAACTAAACTGATTAATATTTAGGAAACTTGGCAAAGCTGGGTACCCTTGCTGGTTTATGATATGCCTACTCTTGCCCACATAGGCATTGTTTGAATTTTATATTTTCATTTTAAAATTTTTTGTTTTTAGACACTTATGTCGGACTACTCTTCAAAGATATTCTGTTTCTCTTTTTACGTGTCCTCTGTACATTCATACACCCGTCACTGAACTTTGAGTCGTACTGACTAATGCGAGAGACACAATTGTAATAATACAGCTTCTTTATTGTTTTCTTTCTTTCTTTTAATTTCTAAAGTCTCAGTTTTCCTCTCTACTCTTTCCTCTTTTTTATTCGCCATTCTCTTGATGGTTTTTGAATGGACTTCGAAGATGGAAGCCAGTGTATGAAGGCCTGGATGATCTTTTTTTTTCTCTCACCATTGCACAGTTGGGAAGGCAGTTGGGCTGACACAAAACGATTTTAAACTGTTCTCTTTCTAGCTAAATAACTCAAAGGGTGTTTTAGGGATTCTTACGATAGATGGTGCCAAGATGGCTAAATGTCTTATCTTAAAACCTTGAGCAAAGAAACTCAATTAGGTTTTTAGATATTAAACATTTTTGGGAAGGACAGTTATGCTTTTAAACGATTTGGACAATTTTGCTGTTACACCTGGTATATCAACAGACTTTATTTTTCTCGCTAAAAATTTCTCTTATTTATTAATTTTTCTTTAGATATATTTAAAAGTTGTTTTGAGAAGGCTTGTAAAGAGCGAAACGTAGTCAAATAATATAAAGGATTAAATATCCAACTGTTTTTACCGTCTTCCATCTTGCTTACATTTTTCAGATATTTTATATCAATCACCCACATCTCTGTAATGGCCCATCGGTTAAAAACTATTGGTCTAAACAGTTTTAGAAAAATAAGCACGTATCGATATTATTAATTTTGTCTACGGTCATTTGATTATGCAAGCGTTTGATAAAGTACGTCACAAAGAACTATTCGAAGTGCTAGGTAAGCTTTTTGTACTTGGGAAGGATACTAGCATAATCCAGAAACAAACCGCCTTCATGCGCATAGGAAATGAATTCAGTAAATATAAAAAATAAAAAATGGGTGTAAGACAAGGATGTTTCTTCTCACCGGACACATTCAGTCTTTACAGTGAGATGATTCAAAGAGATTTAGAATTCCCACTTGTATTCCTTATTGGCACCTACAATTTTAACATTAAATATGCAGAGGAAACAGTGTTGGTAGCAGACTCAGAAAGAAAACTACAGCAACTCCTACAAAAGTTTGGGGAGAAAAGCACGAAGAATGGACTAAACACCAATTACAAGAAGACAGAATTCATTTTTGTTTGAAAAAATGTGTATGTTTGCAAATTACAAACTGGAGATATCAAAGTCTGTCTATATTTCTGAGATGAGGTATTATGTACATTATTCGGACTATTGTCCTCATCTTTGTTGCCATATTTATCACAACGTTTCGGCCGGTGTACGCTCCGGCCTTCTTCAGGTGGTTGGAATGTCGAACTGAACCCTTTATTTCGCTCACTGGGGTAAACTGTTCTAGTTCCACATGCCATGTTTTTGATGGATGTCAGTTATCAGTTATCTCCTGTTAATTTCCCTCTGAAAGTTCTCCACAGCCTTAACCGGGTATTGAACTCACACTCTTTGGGTCCTGTCATTGGATATAAAGGCGTTGATTAGATCCAGTGACAGGACCCAAAGAATGTGAGTTCAATAGCCGGTTAAGGCAATGGAGAACTTTCAGAGGGAAATTAGCAGGAGATAACTGATAACTGACAACCATTAAACATGGCACGTGGAACTACAACCGTCTACCTCAGTGAGCGAAATAAAGGGTTCAGTTCGAAATTCCAACCACCTGAAGAAGGCCGGAGCGTACAACGGCCGAAACGTTGTGATAATGGCGACAAAGATGAGGACAATAGTCCGAATAATGTAAATAATGTGGAGATATCAAAATAAAACAAGTACAACAATTTAAATATCTTAAATTTAATAAGGAGACAGAATGTGTGGTTGTCAGCAAAATAAAAAACACAACGTGCTAATTATAAATCGGCGATGCCCAAATCAAGCAAGTATAAAAATTGAAATATCTAGGAATGGATTTAAGGGGACGGAAAATGCGACTCTAAAATCCGAAGGCGCATCGGGATTGCAAAACGATGTCTCGGTGAATGTAAGCAAAGTATTAAGAAACAGGAAAATCTCATTAGAAACGAAGAAAAGAATACTGAACAGTTAAGTGCTCTTCCAATATTGCAGTAAATCATAGATGAAGAATAAACTTGAGTCAACAAAAATGTGATTCTACAGAAGGATGCCGAGGATACATTGGGCTGGACATGTGAGGAAGTTTAAAGTTTTCGAGAAAATGGAAACAAAAAGGACTTAGAATCAGAAAAAGACAATTAAAATTTATTGTGCACATAAGAGGACTTAGAAAATATGACACTTATATGTTATATTGAAGACACGAGGGACAGAAGAGCATAAAGTATCTAACGACCTTCTGCAAATGGATGGCAGAACAGGGATTAGAAATGATAGCGAAAAGACAAAATGGACAGGGAATTGTGGAGAGCCATGTTTGCCCACGTCCTGAAGATGTATGGGATAGTATTTATCTACATCCCTACGAGGGTAAACTTGACAAAACGAAAGGTTAATATGTGCCACATATATACATATATGTACGTGTGGGTAACTGCAATAATTGTCCAGCTGGTTCAGGACTTTCCTTTAGGACATGTCAGGGGTCATCGATTGATTGACCGGAAGTCTACCTCATTAAGCGCAATGAAAGGATAGACACCCCTACTCTACGTAAAATTAGATATCGTCAGTTTTGGTGTTGAGACATTAATTATAAATCTTCATTGACAATGGGATCATGATGGAGCTGTATATTTTGCTTTTAGGGTCATGGTAAGTAGGATTCCGTCAAGGTGTCCCATGTAGCTGACGTGTCACTTAACCTTCTTTTAACGCAGATATGACGTCATTCATTTCTTTTTATTCTTTTTTTTTCTCTCAGGCGCAATCAAGTTTTTTCTTCTTTTGTTTTTTCTCTCCTTCTTTCCTAACTCGAATCTCTTTAATATTCTAGAACTTGTGCAATTGATACTTTGTGTTAATCATGTTGTATAACGAATGGGTATTAATTAGTGGAAAATTTGATTTGACATCATAAAATGGTGCCGATTTCGTTTTAAATTATAATGGTAAAAGAGTAAAGAAAATAGACAAGGAAGAGAGGGGAAAAACAATAAAAAAGAAGGAGAAAAGAAAATAATAACAAAAAAGAGAATGAAATGAAGAAACAAATACAGCAAATTTTAAAAGAAAGAAATGGATATAGTAGAATAAAAAAATAAATAAATGTAAGAATTTTAAAGAAAGAAAGAAAAATGATTGAACTTTGGAAGAAAAAGAAAGAAAGAAAGAAGTGGATAACAGTGGACGAAATCGAAAGAAAGACAAAAAGAAAGAAAGACAAAAAGAAAGAAAGACAAAAAGAAAGAAAGAAATGGTAGAACAGTGGCCGAAATTGGAAGGAAGAAAAAAATAAGCAAGAAAGAATGAAAAATATTTGAACATTGGATAAAATTGAAAAGAAAGACAGATAAAAAGTAATGGTATAACACTGAACGAAAACGAAAAGCCAGAAAGAAATAGTAGAACTGTGGACGAGACTGAAAGAAAGAAAAAAAAGAAAGAAAAAAAAGAAAGAAAAAAAAAAGGAAAAAATAGTTGAACATTGGAGAAGATGGAGAAAAAAACAGATAGAAAGAAAGAAAGAAAGAAAGAAAGAAAGAAAGAAAGATTTTTATCCCATGATTAATAGAAGGAAAAGAAGACAATGAAATCGAGAGCAGCTACAGGACAATATTTTCTTAAAGTGTTCCTGATTGCCTTCTTTATGAATTACAATTGCGGTGGAGATGGTTTCAGAAATACAATAATAATAATAATAATAATAATAGTAATAATAACAACAATAATAATAATAATGATAATAATAATAATAACAACAACAATAGTAATAATAATAATAATAGTAATAATAGTAATAATAATAATAACAATAATAATAATAATAGTAATAATAATAATGATAATAATAATAATAATAATAATAACAATAATAATAGTAATAATAATAATAACAATAATAATAGTAATAATAATAACAATAATAATAGTAATAATAATAATAACAATAACGCTAGCAACTTCATCGGAGATAAAAAAAAAAAAAAAAAAAAAATTAACATGAAATGTGGCCATAACAACACACCACGACCTGCCTTAGGTCTTTCCGCAGACTTGGTAGGTAGTGTGTCCATAGCAGAAATCGAATGATGATGATAATAATAATAATAACAATAATAATAATAATAATAATAACAATAATAATAGTAATAATAATAATAATAATGTAGTTGGAGCCCTAGGACTGGTTGGAAAAGATTGCAGTAGACTAATTGAAGGGATTACTGGAAGTCCATGCCTCAAGGAGATACAAAAAATTGTTCTGGCTAGTACAGTACAGCCCACACTTTACGAAGGGCCTTATCTATGTAATATTTTTTTATTTTTTTGTCAGTGGAAAGTGCCATGACGCCATTTCTAACCTTATGTCCCTGGGCGGGACCCGGAAAGAAATGTGTAAACGCCAGAAATCAAAGAAAATAATAATAATAATAATAATAATAATAATAATAATAATAATAATAATAATAATGTTGTAGTTGTTGTTGTTGTTGTTGGTGGTGGTGGTGTGACTACAACTAAATCAGTACTACCAGTAGTAGTAGTAGTTATGGTTTAATCGATGGTGAAACGGACACAGTACTGACGGGTGAAATAACAATGGCATTAGATCAGCCATTATTATTGTAGCTTTTGGTCTTATTTCCTGTTATTTCTCAACCTTGTCAAAAATAAGCTTTTTTCAATGCTGTTTTATCTTTTAATGCCTAATGTTTTCTTCCTTGAAAGACAAATTAGTAACGCGTTCTTCTCTTCCTTCTGACAAGATTCAAACCATTCTTTCCTTCCTCATTGTGATCGTTGATGGCAACGAATCTTTAAATTCGTTACAGTTTTTCGCTTGAATTTTTCTGGGATTTAATTTGGGTGATTCTTTTCATTTTTTTTTTTTTTTTTTTACTATTTCCTGCTTTTGGCAACCTGAGTACGCGTTCTACATTCGTTTCTCTCATTTCTTTTCCTTTCGCTCTTTTTTTTAATCTCTTTGTCTTTAAAATGTCCATTGCCTTGAATTCCCGCCTAAATTCATTTCATTCTTACATGTTTCATTTCTTTATCTTATTCTCTAGACAACTTCTAAACATTTTGCCTTTTCTCTCGAAACTTCCTTTTCTGTTACCATCCGTCTTCCTCGGCTTGCTTCTTTCTTTTTCTTACTTTCTTCTTTTTTCTTTTATTTTCTTCTTTTTTATTTTTCTTCTTCTTTTTTCTTCCTTTTTTTAGTTCTTTCTTCTTCTTTATTTTCGTTTTTTATTCTTTTTTCTCCTATTTTCTTCTTTCAATATTGACTTTTTCTTTCTTTTCTTTTTTCTACCATCTTCTTTGACTGACTTGTTTCTTTTTCTGTTTTCCTTTTTTTTTCTTTTTATTTCCTTCTTTCCTGATATATTAAATTATTTCTTCTTTTTTTCTTTCATTTTTCTTTCTTTATTTTTCTTCCTTTTTTCTTTATTACCTTTTTTCCTCCTCTTTAGTTCTTTCGACATTAACTTGGTTCTGTCATTTCTTTTTTCTTCCATCTTCATTGCCTTGCCTCTTTCTTTTTCTTCCTTCCATTTTCTTCTTTTATTGGTTCTTTCTTTTTTCATTCTCTTTTCTTATTTTCACTTTGACTAGATTATTTCTTTTTTTTTTTCTTTATTTAGGTGTTTCTTTTTCTTCTTTTTTCATCGCTTTATTTCTTTTTCTCCCTCCTATTTTCTTCTCTTATTATTGATTTTGTTTTGCCTTTCTTTATGTTTTCTTCCATTTTCTTTTGCTTGGTTCTTTTCTTATTATTTTCCTGCTTCTTCTTTGTTCTCTTTCTTTTATTGTTCTTCTTTCTCCTTTGAACTGCTTATTTTCTTATTCTTCTTATGTTATTCCTTCTTCTTTCACTTTCCAATTTCTTTATTCTTTCCTCCTTTTCTTCTTCCTTTTTTTGCGGGGTTCCTTTTCTATCTTTATTTTCTTCCTCCCTATTTGATTTTTTTTTTGCTTTTAGTTTCTGCATATTTTTTCTTTTACCTTAATTTCCTCTTTCTCTTTTTTATTTTTCCCTATTTTCTTATTTCATTTTGTTTTCTTCTTCTCATTCATTTTTCTTTGGTTTGTTTTTTTTTACATTCTTCATTGTTCCTCTTATTTTTTTTTCGTTATTCTTTCCTTTAAAATTTTTAAATTTATTTCTTCCATCTTTCTTTCCTTTATTCTTCTTCCTTTCTTCCTTTCTTTTTTCTCTTTCTTTTATTAGTCTTCTACAGCTTTTTTCTTAATATGTGCCCTACCGAACGCATTTCCATCAATTAATTTCACGTAATTAATCGATAACACCAAAAGTTATCAATGCTAATAATCCTGACAGCAAGATGATGAGGTTGGGTTGTCGTGGTAGAAAAGAAGCCATTGGTATGAAGTGGCAACCAAGAAGGCTTTTTAATGGCGACAAAGCCAGCAAAACTCGACTGGCCCTAATAAGGATTAATGGTGCCTGATCCTTGCAAGGAATTTCTTCATGTTTCCTCACCCGCGCGCAACACACACGTATGCACCTACACACGCAATCTGACACCGACACAAACGCTTCAACATACTAAAGATCAGATATCAAATGAAGAATCTGGATTTATTTAAATGACTCTACATGATCTTTCAAATACTCAAAGAGCTGTACGTTCTATTTGTTATCTATATACGACCCATGTAAATGCTGAATGTCATCTATATATGGTTATATGGTATATGTATCATCAGTATCAGCCTTTTTCTAACTTTTTTTTACTGCGACCCACAGCAAGAACCGCATTGCGACCCATTATACCTACGTGTAATAAATCAAAGACAAACTCTGTTCGCTAGGTTCATTTATTTAGCATCGACTAAACACATACATATATAGGAGGCACGGTGGAGTAATGGATATCGGCTTGGATTGAGGAATCCGAGTTCGAATTCCAGTCCATTACATTCACTTACGTGCTAATACCCTTGGGAAAGGTATGAATCCTCTTCTTCTCCCTCCAGCTATGGGTAAATAGCAGAACAGACTGGGTTCTATAACCTTGGATGGCAACTGGTCTAGGAGAACTCTGAATTCAAAACCTGTGGAGGGTCGTTTGGGGACCTTGTGGCACTTAGTGCACCAGGTCTCTGGATTCGACCCTTCAAAAAGTGTGGATGGTCCTGCGCGAAACCTTCACCACTATAATCACATCTCATGTGCTGTTGTCGGGCTGTCGGTTTCGTAGGAATTGATCTGCCTCATACGTCGAATTCGATATATATATATATATATATATATATATATATATATATGTGTATGTGTGTGTGTGTGTGTGTGTGTGTGTGTGTTAGTTATGATCCGAACATATTGGAATTGCTTGTATCTATTTGTATGAATATAACATTATTACTTTTAGAAAAACATATTTAAAGATAATTCTGGCACAAAGGTAAAATAAATAATATTTGAAAAAAAATGTCATTTAATGAGATGAATGTGATTGTTTGTTCCTAAGCAATTGTTTCCAATTCCAAGACAGGAAGACTGCTGCATGCATATCAGGTGATGAGTCTGTTTCTGTCCTTGTCTTAATTGACTTAATGTGGAAAATCCCAGTTCACCCAAGTAGTTGTAAAAGGCAATAGTAATAAAATAGCATTTTGCCTCAATATTAGAAATCCCTCTTTGATCTGAACATCATATATATATATATATATATATATATATATATATATATAGTAATTCATCGAGTGTAGAAGAATCCTGACCAGAATGCAAAAAGCACTGGGCGGCAGTTTCGTCCTATTTCGGGGACTCATCAACAGTGAGCATCCACTACCGAGATCCGAATCCGAACCTTTACGATACAATGCAAACGTCATACCAACAGCACGAACGGGCTTCGGTATCGAAAAAGAAACTGATTAGACTCGATATTGGATGCGCACTTCTGATGAGTCCCCAAAATAGGGCGAAACGACCGTCAAGTGCTTTCTGCATTCTGTTAAGAATTCTTCTAGACTCTTTGAATGACTATAAGGATTTGCCTAAATCCCCCAAATTCTATGACTTGTATATACTTGCTTGACCCAGCTAATGCTCTGCAATGGAGTAGTTCAGAGGAAAGGAAAGACATGGCTCTTGGTACACAATCCGTTGGGTTATGAATACGTGGATGAATATCACCACGGCGCTATATCAAATTTATTCAGCTTCCTCCTCGTTAGCGACACCCGTTGGTGCAGTTGGTATGACGCTTGTGTTGTATCGTAAAAATCCGTGTTCGAATCTCGGTAGAAGATACGCACTGTTAACAGGACGAAACGGCCGTCCAATGCTTTCTGCATGAGGATTCTTCTAGACTCGATGAATTACTATAATGATTTGTCTAAAATTCTATTACTTATATATATATATATATATGTGTGTGTGTGTGTGCAGATATGTAGGAAAGAACACGTTAGGTAAATAATCCGGAGTATTTTCCATAGTAATTAATTTTGCGAATGAACATGCTTATAAAGATGCGTAAATTTCAAGATTGGTTATTCCTAAATTTTCGCTTGAGGATGAAACACGGCTTGATACTTTAACTCAATTAAATTTTAACAATTATATTGA